TATGACCAATTATGAACCGATCGGAAAAAACTTTCATAGTAATATTTCTGTATATGTGAGCAATACTTGTACCAAACTTTATATGCATATCTTAATTTAGTAATGAGTTATGTGCGTTTAAGTGATTTTCGGAAGGGGACCTTGTACGGGAGCTATGACCAATTATAGACCGATCGGAAAAAAATTTCATAGTAATATTTCTGTGCATATGAGCAATACTTGTACCAAATTTTATATGGATATCTTAATTTAGTAATGAATTATGTGCGTTTAAGTGATTTTCGGAAGGGGACCTTGTACGGGAGCTATGACCAATTATGGACCAATCAGAAAAAAATTTCATACTAATATTTCTGTGCGTATGAGCAATACTTATTACAAATTTTATATGGATATCTTAATTTAGTAATGAGTTATGCGCGTTAAAGTGATTTTCGGGAGGGGACCTTGTATAGAAGCTATGTCCAATTATAGAGCTATCCAGAAAATTTTTTCTCTCAATCAATTGACATAAGATTTTAAGTTGTAAAATTTTTATGAAGATATCAACATTCTGGCGGAAGTTATTAACAAAAAACTCATTTTCCGGGAATATGTACTTTTGAATAAGAGGTATATGAAATTATGGACCGATTCTGGCAATTTTCAGCAAGAATCAAGATATTGTGTAGAAACGAATATATGATGACTTTCATGAAATTATCTTGCATAGTTTTCGAGAAAATTACATCAGAATGTGTAAACAATGCTTATTTTTTCGGAGTTGTTTTAAATTTTGATTCATAACTTTTCTCGATGTGAGCCAATTTTGCTCATTTTCAATACCAAACTGTACCGGATAATAGTGAATATTTTGGGTGAATTTGGTTAAATTATCTTGCTTCGTTTTAACGTGAGCGTGTTTTACACAGACAGACAAACGGACAGACGGGCATAGCTAAATCGACTCAGAATTTCATAAGGAATATATATACTTTGTTGGGTCTCAGATGACTATTTCTTGGTGTTACACACGGAATGACAAACTTATATAAACCCTCTATCACCACTGATGGTGGTGGAGGGTATCTATACACAGAACATACTCATGTCGAGTTTAATAATAAATTATGTGGCATTAAGCGGAACAAATTTCGTAGAGTAAACACACAAAACACATTCATGTCGAATTTTATCCAGATAGCTTTATTAATCTATGAATTAAGCTCGTTTAAGTTATTTTCGGATGTGAACCTTATATGGGAGCTATGACCAATTATGGACCGATCCGGAAAAAAATTCCGTAGAATGATATATGTATGTACATGTATGAATATGTATTGATGAATATGTATTCATGTCGAATTTTATCTCGATAGCTTTATTTATCAATAAAATATGTTCATTTAAGTGATTTTCGAAAGTGGACCTTATATGGGAGCTATGACCGATTATGGACCGATCCGGAACAAATTTCGTAGAGTAATTCATATACACACAAAACACATTCATGTCGAATTTTATCCAGATAGCTTTATTTATCTATGAATTAAGCTCGTTTAAGTGATTTTCGGATGTGAACCTTATATGGGAGCTAAGACCAATTATGGACCGATCCGGAAAAAAATTCCTTAGAATGATTTATGTATATACAAAACATATTCTTGTCGAATTTTATCCCGATAGCTTCATTTATCAATAAAATATGTTCATTTAAGTGATTTTCGAAAGTGGACCTTATATTGGAACTATGACCAATTGTGGACTGATACAGATCTAAGTCCGTAGTTTTGATTCCTGTTCATATAATGTCAATATGTACAAAATTTTGTGTTGATACCGATATATTTGAGGATGTTATTAACGATAAATTAATTTCCGGGAATATGTACCTTTGTATGGGGGCTATGGGAAATTTTGGATCGATTATTACAATTTTAAACATAATTAATCTATAGATGAAAAAAATAATCTGTGACAAAATTTGTCGAATTATCTTTGGTAGTTTCTGAGAAAACTACTCAAAAATTAGGGAAAAAAACTTAATTTTTTTTAGGTAGTCTGAAATTTTTACTCATAACTTTTTACGTTGTGAACCGATTTTGCTGACTTTCAATACCAAACTGCTTAGGAAAACAATGAATATTCTCAGTGAATTTAGTTGATTTCATTTGCTTAGTTTTAACGTGAACGTGTTTTAACCAGACAGACAGACGGACATAGCTAAATCGACTCAGAATTTCATAAGGGTCTCAGATGAATATTTTTTGTTGTTACACACGGAATGACAAACTTATATATACCCTCTATCACCACTGATGGTGGTGGAGGGTATCACAAGTAAGAAATTGTAGTCGGGCGAGGACGACCATATAATGCCCTACACCTGTTACAAAAATAAAATGTGATTTAGTTTTCATAACAGAGCATATACATAGTTGAATTGTATCTTGCCTCAGATATACTTAAGCCGTTTATTGTTGAATAAAATTGTGAACATTTAAGTCAAATTTTGAAGGGGGGTTTGTATAGGGGCTATGGTCAAATGAGACTCTATAATTATAAAATTGATGAGTCATCGAGGCTAGTATAGAACTTTGTTTTGCAGCTTTTTGTCGAGATACGAGTATATTGATGAACTTAAAAGTCCTATTCGTCGGGTTCAGTTGTAAGGAGGCTAGGTGAAATAATAAACCAATGTTAATCCTTTTCAATAGGCTTCGTCTCCGGTACCATAGAAGATGATGTGCCAAATTTCATTGAATTATCTTCAAAATTGGGACCTGAAGTTTGATTACAAGCTTTACAAGCCGTAATCGACTCAGAAAATAATTTTAAGCCGATTGGTGTACATTAAAGTGGTGTAGTGTATAAATATGCTATAAAAATAAGTTTTTTACGGATCGGTCCATAATTGTTCATATCTGTCATATAAGATCCACTTCAGAAAATCGCACATTTCATTTGTTATTTGAAAAAACTTGAGTAAATATTTTATTTTCAAGGTCTCTCAGTATTAGAAAAACTATTGTATGTTAAATATAGAAAGGTTTAATAAAACTTTGAAAAGTATCAGATCGATTGGTTATTTTGTTTCTAGGATAACCCGGTATGATCTTTTAATAATTTGTCTTATCGATATTCAATCTTGTTTAGGTAGGAAAACACTTTTTTATAATTCTGTGGTTTTGTTCTCAATGTGGAAATGTCTTTGTAAAAATTTGAATGATCGCCAATTAATCCGGTACGGGGAGTGATTTTATGATATAAGGCTGTATGTGGTATTGATGTTTTGATGGAAATTTTGAAATCGTAACCAACAATTTCTGCCGGAATTTTTTTATATTGTTGACGGGGATGATTATAGTAAATCTGACGCTGAATTATAGTTGCTGTTGAACCCACACTTTTACTTTTTCTATATGACTCATAGGAGCGGGTGTTGATACTTGTGGTCATAAGTTGGTTCGTAAGGTCGAGAAAAAAATTCTAAAGAAGGGTGCAACCCTTTGGCATTTACCAGATTCTCAGCCACTCTCAGCACAGAGTAGCAACGTAGTTGCCTGTAACTAGTATCTTCCTCCTCAAAATGTCGTTTTACAAAGCCTTGTTGCGATCTTGCCAAAAGCTAGAGGGTGATTATTTTGGAAAACAAATACGATTACATGAAATATCATTCCCTGAAAAAATATTTTAACTCACTTTCCCATTCACATATAAGAAAATCGTAATTCAGCGTGAATGTCAAAACTTTCTGTAAATTCACCAACTTATACGTTGCCAGTCTTGTAAGAAAAATGGAGGAAATCTCCCTTCGCAACAATTTAATGGCGTCCTGCCAAAACAACTGCAGCCAACTTCACTCAGTTAGTTGATCAAAAACGTAGTACCCTAACAAACTTGACCCATTTTTATTTAAAAACAACGTCTGGCAGCATTGCTTTCATGCAAAAACACTCCTGTATTCACAATAATCAATGCAGCCAAAACATGCACTTTTCCTTGATAGCCACACTGAGAGAAATAGTGCAATGCACGACTACACATACTTTCTAACTTGTTTTTACGTTTACAAATAACTTTTAAATATAGAGTGGAGATCGTGTTTAAAGGTCGCCACATATTCTGACAGAGCACATCAGTATGAAAATATTATTATATGAAAGTTTAAAATGAAGAGTTTGTGAGTTATTTACGGTCCCTGAATTAAAATTAAACTATTAAGAAAGTATAGTCGGGCGTGGCCGACCATATGATACCCTACACCAGTTATGAATATTAAATGTGATTTATTTTTCATAATAAAGCATTTATCTTGAATATTACCTTGATGCCGATTTATTTAAGCAATTTATTGACGAAAAACTAATTTTCTAAAAGATGCTTTATATGGGGGATAGGAGCAAAAGTAGACCGATCCCGATAAAACGGGCTGGATAGATTTGTATTTATATAATATTTATCTGTGCTAAATTTCATTGCAATAACAGTGTTAATAAATAATAAAAATTGCGGATATTCAAGTCACTTTCTGAGGGGGGCTTTGTATGGGGGCTATGGGGTCAAATGAAGTCCAATCATTTCGAAATTCGGCAAGATCATTAAGGCTTGTATAAAACTTACTTGTGCGAACTTTCATCGAGATACATTTATATTATACATAATTATGAGCTCAAAAGCCCATTTCGGATGGTTCAGTTGTATGGGGGCTAGGTGAAATAATGGACCGATTTCAACCATTTTCAATAGGCATCGTCCTCGTGTATGCCAAATTTCATCAAATTATCTTGAAAATTGCGACCTGTACTTTGATAACAACGTTAACATGGACACACGGACGGTCGGACGGACGGACATCGTTAAATCGACTCAGGAAGTGATTCGTAGTGGATCGGTATACTTTAAGGTGGGTATTTTATTAATATTTTAATGCGTTACAAACATCAGCACAAACGCATAATACCCTTCCCACTATAGTATTGTAGGGTATAAAAAACAAGAATAAATGTTACTGAACTTACCATTTGAACTCGATAAGGATAAACCACCACTGATAAGATAGAAATATATATTCAAATGCAAAATTATGTAAATTATCGGTCTTAATTTGTAAATAAATAAGAAATGACCCGCTGATAATGATGACGTTCTCATAATTAAAGTTTTTCAACTTGGATTTCGAATAAATTGGATGATGCTTCAATTAGGTATATTTTTCAGGATTTTACATTCTGTTGAGTTCTATAATGAAACAAAATTTAAATTTAATGATAATGAGAATGCTTTAATTATAAATAAAATTTCGGTGTTGAAAGGTTGACATAACATACAATTTTTATGAAAAATAACAACTTTGGAATAATAGTTCCCTCTTCTTTTAATGCTGAAAATTTACAGAAATATCTAATTAGAAAAATTTAATTACGAAGGGTGATGCCAACATTTCACCATCGTTATACATACGTATAAGAAACTTTTTTTGGAAATAGATTTTATATAAAAACAAGTTAGAGCGCTATATTCGGCTATGCCGAATCTTAAATACCCTCCACCAGTTTTAAGCTAACTCGGCATAAGTTTTGTTTCCATAGTGAGGGTTCTATCATTTAGCAAATAGGTCTAACAAAATTTATTGTTAGTGATTTTCAGATATGGACTTTTTAAACGATGTGGTTGGCGTTATATGGGAACTACGACCTGTCACGGATCAATTGGAAAACATTTTAGCAGAATGAATTATCGTGCCGAATTTTATTTAAATAGCTTTATTTATCAATAAAATATTCGCGTTTAAATGATTTTCGAAAGTGGACCTTATATGAGAGCTATGACTACGGTGACTATATTTTTTTCAGCAAAATACAGAACAAGATATAAAATACACTAAACACCATTTTCTAAATCAGGTTATTTTTAACCGTCAAAATTTCAATTGTCAATAAAGTTTTAAACATTATTATATTGATAGTTCACAGAAAAAAGTTGTTTCAGCATAAATATTATGAACTGCTTTCATTGACAAAAGTTAATAATATTTAAGAATAGTTCCTAAATGGTAAGAATTTTTTAATTTTTGTTTTTTTTTTAACATAATCTAGAAGCCTTGACTTAAAATATTTCAAATTTATTTTTATTTTTCTATTTGAATGTTTGAAATTTTCTTTGGAAAATTGTTTATTTCTTTACGATTTTTAGATTAAAATCGATAAAATTTGACCGATATTAACTATGTTTGCAGATGATTTCCTGTTTTAGATTTTGTTTTTCAACATTTAAATTCCTATTTTTATACCCTCCACCACCATCAGTGGTGATAGAGGGTATATGAGTTTGCCATTCCGTGTGTAACACCAAAAAATATTCATCTGAGACCCAACAATGTATATATATTCTGGGTCCTTATGAAATTCTGAGTCGATTCAGCTATGTCCGTCTGTCTGTCTGTCTGGTTAAAACACGCTCACGTTAAAACTAAGCAAATGAAATCAACCAAATTCACTGAGAATATTCATTGTTTTCCTAAGCAGTTTGGTATTGAAACTCAGCTAAATCGGTTGACAACGTAAAAAGTTATGAGTAAAAATTTCAGACTACCTAAAAAAAATTAAGTTTTTTTCCCTAATTCTTGAGTAGTTTTCTCAGAAACTACCAAAGATAATATGACAAATTTTGTCACAGATTATTTTTTCATCTATAGATTGATTATGTTTAAAATTGTAATAATCGATCCAAAATTTCTCATAGCCCCCATACAAAGGTACATATTCCCGGAAATTAATTTATCGTTAATAACATCCTCAAATATATCGGTATCAACACAAAATTTTGTACATATTGACATTATATGAACAGGAATCAAAACTACGGACTTAGATCTGTATCGGTCCACAATTGGTCATAGTTCCAATATAACGTCCACTTTCGAAAATCACTTAAATGAACATATTTTATTGATAAATAAAGCTATCGGGATAAAATTCGACATGAATATGTTTTGTATATACATAAATCATTCTAAGGAATTTTTTTTCGGATCGGTCCATAATTGGTCATAGCTCCCATATAAGGTTCACATCCGAAAATCACTTAAACGAGCTTAATTCATAGATAAATAAAGCTATCTGGATAAAATTCGACATGAATGTGTTTTGTGTGTATATGAATTACTCTACGAAATTTGTTCCGGATCGGTCCATAATCGGTCATAGCCCCCATATAAGGTCCACTTTCGAAGATCACTTAAATGAACATATTTTATTGATAAATAAAGCTATCGGGATAAAATTCGACATGAATACATATTCATACATGTATATACATAAATCATTCTACGGAATTTTTTTCCGGATCGGTCCATAATTGGTCTTAGCTCCCATATAAGGTTCACATCCGAAAATCACTTAAACGAGCTTAATTCATAGATAAATAAAGCTATCTGCATAAAATTCGACACGAATGTGTTTTGTGTGTATATGAATTACTCTACGAAATTTGTTCCGGATCGGTCCATAATCGGTCATAGCTCCCATATAAGGTCCACTTTCGAAAATCACTTAAATGAACATATTTTATTGATAAATAAGGCTATCGGGATAAAATTCGACATGCATACATATTCATGAATACATATTCATACATGTATATACATAAACCATTCTACGGAATTTTTTTCCGGATCGGTCCTTAATTGGTCATAGCTCCCATATAAGGTTCACATCCGAAAATCACTTAAACGAGCTTAATTCATAGATAAATAAAGCTATCTGGATAAAATTCGACATGAATGTGTTTTGTGTGTATATGAATTACTCTACGAAATTTGTTCCGGATCGGTCCATAATCGGTCATAGTTCCCATATAAGGTCCACATCCGAAAATCACTCAAATACGCATAATTCATTGATTAATAAAGTTATCAGGGTAGAACTCGAGCTGCATATGTTCTGTATATAGATATAAATCAATTAGTGAAATTTTTTCCGGATCAGGCCACAATTGGTACTGGCTCCCATATAAGGTCCACATCCTAAAATCACTCAAATGCGCATAATTATTGATAAATAAAGCTATCAGGGTAAAACTCGACGTGAATTTGTTTTGTGTATAATCATCCGTGAACATTTTCCACATCGGTCCATATTTGGTTACATTCCATGTAAGGAATTTTTTCAGCATTGGTCCATATCTACCTCCCATATAAGGTTCACTTCTGAAAACCACTTAATGCCACATTATTTATTAATGAGTATGTTCTGTGTATAGATACCCTCCACCACCATCAGTGGTGATAGAGGGTTTATATAAGTTTGTCATTCCGTGTGTAACACCAAGAAATAGTCATCTGAGACCCAACAAAGTATATATATTCTGGGTCCTTATGAAATTCTGAGTCGATTTAGCTATACCCGCCTGTCCGTTTGTCTGTCTGTGTAAAACACGCTCACGTTAAAACGAAGCAACCAAATTCACCCAAAATATTCACTATTATCCGGTACAGTTTGGTATTGAAAATCGGTTCACATCGAGAAAAGTTATGAATCAAAATTTAAAACAACTCCGAAAAAATAAGCATTGTTTACACATTCTGATGTAATTTTCTCGAAAACTATGCAAGATAATTTCATGAAAGTCATCATATATTCGTTTCTACACAATATCTTGATTCTTGCTGAAAATTGCCAGAATCGGTCCATAATTTCATATACCTCCCATTCAAAAGTACATATTCCCGGAAAATGAGTTTTTTGTTGATAACTTCCGTCAGAATGTTGATATCTTCATAAAAAATTTACAACTTAAAATCTTATGTCAATTCATTGAGAGAAAAGATTTTCTGGATCGCTCCATAATTGGACATAGCTTCTATACAAGGTCCCCTCCCGAAAATCACTTTAACGCACATAACTCATTACTAAATTAAGATATCCATATAAAATTTGTAATAAGTATTGCTCATACGCACAGAAATATTACTATGAAATTTTTTTCCGATCGCTCCATAATTGGTCATAGCTCCCGTACAAGGTCCCCTTCCGAAAATCATTTAAACGCACATAACTCATTACTAAATTAGGATATCCATATAAAATTTGGTACAAGTATTGCTCACATATACAGAAATATTACTATAAAAGTTTTTTCCGATCGGTCCATAATTGGTCATAGCTCCCATACAAGGCTCCCTCCCGAAAATCAATTAAACGCACATAACTCATTACAAAATATTGATATCCATACATTTAGCACAAATATTCCTCTTATATACATAAATTACACTATAAAATTGTTTTACGATCGGTCCATATTTGGTCATAGCTCTCATACTAGGTCCCCTCCAGAAAATCACTTAAATGCACAATATTCATTGCCAAATAATGATATAGACACAGTATTTTGAAATTTTATATACATAATTGGTCATAACGCCTTTACGAAAATCTCTTAAACGCACACTCACGCATACTCATTACCAAATAAAGCTATTGATACAAAATTTGGCACAAATATTAGTATTATATTAATATTAGGTCCATAACATGGGTGCGGTCGGTCCCATGCAAATGTCCCTTCAGAAAATCACTTGAACACACATTACTTCTTACTAAATTACAATATAGATACAAAATTTGACTGAAATATAGCCTTTATGTACAGAAATTTAACTTAAAGAATTTTTTACGATCGGTTTATAATTGGTCATATCTCCCATATTAAGTCCTTCCACTAAAAGCAATTTAACCGTATTTAACTAATTGCATTATCAATTTGTGCAGAACAAAATTATATATATATGTATTTTGAAAATCCTTAAATCTTTCACACACATGCACATTATTCAATATCGTTAAAGCATATTTTAGGTCGCTATAAAAATATAAAAGAAAATGGGGTTTGTAATGTTCAATAAATCTTGTAATTGTAACAGATTTAAGCTGTTTAAATCTGGGGGTTTTTCTATTTAAGACATGAGAAAACTTATTTCTACAAATATTTGATCAATTAAAAAAGTATTACTATAAAAATAGCTGGTGGAGGGTATTTAAGATTCGGCTCAGCCGAATATAGCACTCTAACTTGTTTTATTATATAAAATTCGCTACTATAGGATTACTATTCTGTTAATATGTAAACAGAATAGTAAATAATGACTTTTATGCAATTATTTCATGAATACCGTTGAAAAAAGTAAAAATTCAAAAAGTTAGCGTCATGTACAATAAAATGTATGAATTTTATGAACT